AGGTTGGAGATTGGCCTATAATTAGCTAAGACTGCTGGGTCTAGGGATGGCTTTTTGAGTAAAGGTTTAACTACAGCCAGCTTGATTCCTGTGGTACATAGCCGATTATTAGAGATAGGTTGATCATATTTAAGATCGAAGAATTAATTAATGGCAGGACTTCTTTGAGCAGTTTTGTAGGAATGGGGTCTAAAAGACACGGTTTGGAGGAAGTAATTATTGAAGTTAACTCAGAAAGATCAATTGGAGAAAAAGAGTCTAACTTAACGTCAATGGTACTAAGAGTAGCTGTAGATAATGCTTACTTAGAAGAAATCAATAAATATACAAACACTTCAGCCAGTGCTTCCTCAGACTAGATGAGTAACTGAAACCACTCACCGCCGGATCTGTGAGTGCTAAAATTATACTGTTACTAGAGCCATCCAGTTGTTCCCTAAAATTGAACATCAGATTTCTTAAACGTGCTTTAAAAATCCAAACACCCACAGCTACAAACATCTGACTGGCACTACCACCTCTAGGTATCCTACGAAGGATTCTCATTGCATCATTATATGCAACATGCAGGTGCTGCGTGTCTGTGAAGGTTCTCAGTCATCCAGGTCATCGTAGTCTAAGGAGCTTGGAAAGAAAAGCGTCTGGAATTCTTTAAGTTGCTTGAAGACGTTTCACCTCTCATCCGGGAAGCTTCTTCAGTTCTAAGGTCAAATGGCGGAGAGTCCCAGATTTAAACCCCGTGGGAATATCCCCCCAAAGAGAGACAAAAGGACCTCCTGATGATCCTCTACCTAATCACATAAGCCAAGGTGTGAAAATGGGTGTGGGTCACAATTTCGGGTGAGCTCATTGTGAAACCTATCCCCACCCTATCATGTGATTTCCTGAGGTCAGATGGCCTAGGATGTGAGTGGGCGATTTCATATCTGCTGACCTCTAATGTGAAACCTAATCTGGTCCAGAGCAACAGCACAAGTTACAGTAGTGTTCTACAATGGTAAGAAGTGAACCACCTTCATAGTACAGAAAAGGGTTAAGACTGAAGTTACCTGCGTAACAAGGAATCCTGCTTCAAAGCACAGGCCTCAGCTCATTTTCTCTTCTTTTTTTTGCAGTTATACTTCTACAACATGTTTGCAGAATTCTCTTATTATCATTTAAAAATACTTTGTCTTTCTCTTCAAATGTCCCTGAAATTGCATAAAACTATAAGTTGGTGCTACATTTCCTACCTTACCTGAATGCAGCAGAAATAAGTGCCTAACCTACTTCTATTTTAGTTGTTACCAAAAAGGGGAGGAGCTTTTTTTGTTGGTCTTGTCTAATACAGAAACTATATTTAAGGTGCTGTGCACTGACATAGTGGCTTAATGTCTGACACACATTACCTGGAAAAACGTCACCTAAGAAATACCTGGAAACGGTTGTTGCTCATCCAGTAGGGAGAAAGGGACACGCCCTGAGAGGGAGAGAACGATTATCTCATTTAGATCAGACACGACTTCCTGAGGGGGGAAAGCAACAGCAGCAAATACTGTGAGTACTGTAACTTTAAATTGCTATCCCATCTGTGATTCTAAGAAGGAAAAACGAGAGACTGGGATCTTCCGGGAACTTTCTGGAGGAGTGAGATTAGCCACGAATGACTGCTGTCGCATTGTGCTTTCTGCCTGGTGTGTTTTCAGCTTCAGTGAGATAATGGCTTTCCAGTCTGAGGAGGACCTGTCCTGTACTGTCTGCTTGGATATTTTTAAAGATCCTGTTGTCCTCCCCTGTAGCCACAGCTTCTGTAAAAGCTGTTTGCAGACATGGTGGGGTGATAAAACAGTACATGAGTGCCCTCTTTGTAAAAGGAAATCATCGAGGAGTGACCCACCTCGAAACCTGGCATTAGCAAAGGCGTGTAAGGCATTCGAAATGGAGAGAGATCAGAGGGTTTCTGTGGAGTCAGAGGCTCTCTGTTGCCTGCACTCAGAAAAATTCAAACTCTTTTGTCTGGACCATCAGCTGCCGGTGTGTCTTATCTGCAGAGACTCAAAAATGCATACCAACCACAGGTTTAGACCCATCCAAGAATTTGCACAGGAGCAAAAAAAGGGGCTCCAGAAATCCTTGAAGCCTTTACATGAGAAACTGAAAGTATTTGAACAAATTAAAGAAAAGTGTGATAAAACAGCAGAGCACATTAAGGTCCAGGCTCGCCACACAGAGAGACAGATTAAAGAGCATTTTAAGAGGATGCACCAGTTTCTACAAGAGGAAGAGGAGGCCAGGATCACTGCACTGAGGGAGGAAGAGGAGCAGAAGTTTAAGACAATACAGGAGAAGATTGAAAGTCTGATCAGAGAGATAGCAGCTCTTTCAGAAACGATTAGAGCCACGGAGGAGGAGCTGAAAGCCGAAGACGTCTCATTCCTGCAGAACTACAACGATGCAGTGAAGTTAGTCCAACAGCAGCCCCTACTGGATGATCCAGAGCTGGCCACAGGAGCTCTGATAGATGTGGCTAAACACCTGGGCAACCTGACCTTCAACATCTGGAACAAAATGAAGAAAATGGTTTCCTACTTTCCTGTGATTCTGGATCCAAACACTGCCAACCCAGAATTTATCCTCTCTGAAGATTTGACAAGTGTAAGTTACGGAGAGCGACAGAAGCTTCCCGAAAACCCAGAGAGGACTGACTATCATCGTTCTGTCCGCGGCTGGGAGGGCTTTAACTCAGGGACCCACAGCTGGGATATTGAAGTGGGAGACAACACAGCCTGGTTTGTTGGAGTGGCAGCCGAATCCATCCAGAAAAGGGAGCGGGTAAAATCAGGATTCTGGCAAATCGAGTTCTACAATGGTAAATACAGCACACGCATACTGGGAGCCCCACCGTCTGCTCTCCGAGTAAAAAAGAAGCTGCAGAGGATCAGAGTTCATCTGGACTGGAACAGAGGAAAGCTGTCATTCTTTGATCCTGATACTGGCTCACACTTACAGAGTTTCACACACTCTTGCACTGACAAGCTGTTTCCATGCATAGGTACTTTAAACGACATGCCACTGAAGATATTACCAGACAAAATTTCTGTGACAAGAGATTATCTTAGTTAAAGTTTGGTGTGTTTGATAAGCAGATGCATTGTCCTGTGCGTGGACTGACACCAAGGTAATGTGTCAAAGTATCACACACATGACCCAGAACTTCAGCAGAAAACTGCAATGAAATGAGAAGGTTAATGGTATTCTCACCACCGATAAGTGGTTTTAATGTTACTAATGTTTGCATGCTGTAAAATCTGTAGACTTGACCCCCCAGAAATCTAGAAGTGGGAAATTCTGCCTGAGTTTCAATCATGTTCAAAGTACTTATTTACCTACTTAAGAAGGATAATAGCTGATTTATCCTACAGCATTAAATGAATGGGGTGTATTGCCATCAACAATTATGTCAGGTTTGTTTTGAATTAATGAGGTGTAAACCATGGTATATTGGAAAACTAGTACATCCAATAACAGTATTGAAAAGAAGAAAAACTCTGTGAAGCAAGATATGCTGGAATTCAAATGCAAGGCTAACATTGTGCTAATGTAGACATATGCACTTTTTCTTGTTTTTATAACTCAGTTCTGATCCTCTCTCTATAACTCACATTTCAGAAAAAGTAACGGTTGCTCAAGGTTTGTCATTTTCAAGTTAACATTATCAGCTCAGTTTCTCTTGTGATGTCTGGTGGCTGTAGCTCAGGAGGTAGTGCCGGTTAACTACTAGTTTCAAGGTTAGTGGTTCAATCCCTGGTTATTCCAAAATGTATGGATGCTACCCAAGAATGGGTAAATGGGGCAAGTTGTATACGGTACTTTGGGTGCTTAGCTAGAATATAAAAGTTCTATATAAGGTCCATGTTAGGGTGATAGAGACACATAGATATAAAGACATCATTTACTACAGCGCGGTTTCAACAACAGTGTTAACAATTAAGTTGAAAAGAGGCAATAATGTAGCATACTGAAGTAAAACTACTCTACTTAAAGTTAAATGTACTTTTTATTAGAATACACTTTTTAATGATGTGTGCCATACACAAGTTGTTTGTACTTGTAGAAACTATACAACATGTTAAAACACCCAGAACTCACTGTTGTCTCATCTGTGTGCCCCATACACAGCACAAATGTGTGTATCAATTATGTGACAGACCTCCTCTGTTTCTATCCAATGCCTAATTTGCTGTATTTACAGTAACACTGCTTTCATTAACATTTGAATGATAAAATGTAACATGAACTTTGACTGATCGCTGCAGAAGTCTTGGAGTCTTTTAGTTTGTTTTAATCTGATCCAAATCAGCGTATGAGTTTGTAAACTTGGAACATTTTCCTGGTGTTTGGTTTTGCAGAAAAATCCAGGTGGACAACCAACTGAATCAAAAAGTGACTGTATAAATTTTGTGGCATGTTCAGTCCGCTTATTGGCTGTGTCTGATGTGTCTGGGACAGAAGCAACGAACACAGGATTATGTAGTGTTCTGGGCCCTATTTCAGGAAACATGTTGAACAGTCTTTGAGCTGCTTCCTGGAAAGAGAGCCCATGCCCGGTGGATTACATGTGATGCCTTTGTTTATTTTATTGCTAGTTGGTACAGTCTGTGCATTCTGCACATCCGAAAGAATAACATTTTAACATTGTTTGTTTTTACATACATGTTCTGAAAAATAGCTCAATATAACCAAGTCAGCTTGAAAAACTAGCATGGGTTTGGTAAATACACTTATAGAGTAAGTGCAGTGTTTCCTGCTTGTCTGGTACCATTTCATAAAATGACCACATGGAGAGGCTGTAGACTTTTTCATTTTCATTTAAAGCCTTGGTTGTCACTGAGACTTTATTGCAGTCAACAGACACTTAAATAGGTACATCTTACTGATACTTTGTTTTGTCCATATTAAC